CGTCTGGCCGAGTGGATTGCTATCAACTTGACCTTTCCAGGCTCTGAAGAAGGCGAAATTCGCCGAAACGTCAGCTTAATCGTGAACAAAGAATAGTAACACCTCGCGTTTGCTCAACAAAAATACGAAGAAAATTATTATGCATTTTTCGGCAGTTCCTACATTGGAATCGTTTCCTCACATCCGTCATTCATGAAAACCTTTGAAGTCGTTTGTAGATGTAGATGTAGATTCAGCAACAGCTCCACCGTTTTTGCCTGCTTTACGAATGTCGTCGAATTCTAGCCGAGTTCATTGTGCTTGTCCTAAAGCCGCTTCTAGTTAAGCCTTGCTAGAGCTTACCTAGGTCTTCTGGACCGAAGAAAGCTTACTAGACAAGTCTGCTACCATTTAGTGGAGGGCTTCGTTGGCCTACAAACCAAGAACATGTGCGTGTTCAAGAGTATCAGCACTACTGACTAGTACCACCTACTGTGTTGGCTTTTGCCTTCCACATGTGTGCAAATATTTTTTTGGTGCAAGCGTGAGTGAACGTGCTTGTGAGTGTGTAGATTGCACGTTGGACGCCCACTCGGAGAAAAGCTATAATATCATGACAGGAAAGTAAACGGAAAGTGGTTCAAGGTAACTTCCATTAGATAATCCCCATATCTACTTTGAGATGTCACGAGATGTGATTGTGTGATTCTAATTTTACACCATATTCGAACGAAATTCAGCGATAATGGATTGAATGGGGATCGACGATGCTCTCACGAGTCACTCGATAGAAAAATCGAATATAGCTGAGACATAAGGAAGTTTCTTACACTCCACAAAATATCAGCATATGGAATAATGACGTTTAGTTCAAATATATGACTGGTTAGCTTGATCCAGAAATTCTACGTATTGTAGACTTTTCCCCGCAAGTTTTTCCCCAATCTTATGAAAACGCCACTAGCAAGGCGCTGGTCCGACTTCACCTCATGCTCGTGAAGCCTTCAAGTCAGGAAATACTTTACCAGCGTTCAACGACATTTGTGGAAAGGAAAATCCTCAACAGCAACGCAATCCACAGGCAAAAGTTAGAAGATTTACGTGAATGATGAATACTGAAAGAACGGTTAAATGCATGAAATGCAAGGATCCGATCGGCACAATATGTGACACCGGTTTTGCAAAGAAAAATAAAATTGTTCACATTTCTGTTTTTGTTAACCTCGGATATTCATCGCTGTTAGAAATGCACACATCTCATCGGAAAACTTGCTTGCTGAGATTCTAACGTTTTTGCTGCTAAATTTTTAGTAATGTTCGAAAACCGTTGTCGATCAGTGGTCTATATAGTGCTGAACACCCCTAGCTGAACAGTCCACTCGTTTCAGGACCATTAGCTTTCGGCAAGCGTGATGGCGATGACGCAAAGATAGTGCTTCCGGGACTGGGAACTTTCGGTGTGGGCGATGTGAAGAGCAGTATTGCGAAATTTATTCCAGGTATCAAATAAAGGCACCAAATTCCAAACAGAGAAAAATCAGTTAATTTAGCGAAATATTCTAGTCGTAACATTTTTCGATGATAAGACAGGCAGAATTGCACAGAGATGTGTATTAAATGATCTAAAACTTTGTAGGGCGACCTCAATCTATAAAACCATTCTAGCTGGAATGAGCGGTCAAATACCGAACGGTGGCACATTCGAGTTAGCGGATAAGCCGAATCTCGGTTACATGGACAGAGAGACAACGGCTGGAAAGACAAGCGGGTCCACAAGCAAGGTTCGAATCGTTCGAAAGACATTTGACCACCGCTGATTTCACGAAGGTCCAGTGCAATGCTGGTTTTTTCGAAACGATGAATTCTCAATAGCTAGAGGGCTTGTGAAGTTGAGACCATTATGGAATTATAGAAGAGGGTTTACCTTATCTATCTAAATGAATAGTATTTCTAATATACGTTGCATTTTTCTATGGTTTATCTAACAAACACATTACCGTCAGAATTTGGAAGCACTTTGCCACCTTTTTCGGATGCATTTAGTCCTTCATTAGGCCAACACATTCCATAGGAAAATAGAAATCAATCCTTATGCTTGCAAATGAAAAAGCAATGAGTTGCTGGTCAAAAGTTGAACTTTTCATGCCATATGAATGCAGCTTTCACAGGAGCACTTTCGGTCGGTTGTGCGATCTGTGGTAGCTTACTTCACAGAAGACAATTGTTCATCCGAAAATTAATACTCTGTTATATTAAATTAGGTATAGCTAAATATTTTGCAAGTAAAACCAGCTGAAAGACAATACAGGGAAAACGTGGGACTTACAAAAAGTGTGATCACGGTAGGATTTGCGCGAATCACTCCTGGACGAGCACATTGAAATCAGTCAAACGGCCTGCTTTGTTTTGAACGGTTCGAATACGAACATTCAGTTGGCCGCGATTGTTCAATTTTGGCTAGTTGCGAAGGCTAAAATGGTAATATCGGTGATGAAGAGCAGTTTCAGGTGTCACTGGGCGGCATCGGAACATTTCATCTCGGTCAAGAGAAAGAGCAGGGAACAGGACTACTCGACTTCTCAAGAACATGTGCGGTCAATGCATTTTTAATCCACACGGGTTTTGCCTTTCTTATCAATACTTTTCATGAGCTCTACCCTTTACACATCTGTATTACAAAGGTTCAAAGGAAAACATTAGAAGATCACAAAAATTAGACTCAGTCTATTTCTATGAAATGCTGAGATATTTGCAAAACTCCGGACCACAGGTGTATGCAGTGGGGAACGAACACGCGCTGTTGTCCTTACCGGGGAGCAGCGCACTTCACCACTACACCATCCGGGTCCTTCGTTTTGTATGTCTCTCAGTCTCTCAGTCTACTTCGTTGGCACTCAAAACTTCTTTCTAACATATTCTGAAATACGCAAACTCCGACTGTTTATTTAGAGCAGTCTATTTCAAAAAAAAGCCAGGATATAAACACAAAATGAATTGTCAAAGGCGTAAGATATTAGGATGTGGGCAAAGGAAACACATTGGTGGTAGTTTTTTCGTTATTGCCAAATTTTCGACAACGAACGGTCTCAGGAATAAATCCCAGTGTAGAAAGACTACCTCAGTTAATGAATATGAACTCGCCTTGGAATATTTTTGGAGATTGTCCTTTAATATGTTAGTAAGAGATGCTGTGTGATGAGCTTATTTCATTTATTTTAAAATTCATAAGTGTTGGAAAATAAAAAAAAAATCTACGATAAAAAGTGGAACCTTCGTTCCATATGAAATAGTTGGGAGCTATTTCGTGTCACTTGCAGTGTTTCCATTCATGCAGTTGCCACCGTTGAAAAGCGACGGCACACCAGACTATTCGTACACAGCGGTCGATCCGAAGCTGGGCGACGCCTTGTACCCTAAACCGAATTCGTACACGGAAGAAGCCGAGAAGCTGCTCGAAGTGAATCCGCCTCCCCCGAAAACACCATTCACGAAGGTATGGGCTCAGCACTCCTTCCAAGGTCCATTGATCTATTGCTTTATTGTTTTTGTACGCGTGTTCTTATTCACGTGAAACATATTCTTTTCATATCATATATCATATATCGCGTCATGCCATGTCATGATGACTCGATGGATTTGGCTGTTATAGTCGTGCTCAATTACAACATTTAATAAGAGTAAGAGACAAAGCCCATAAGCTGAAAAGGAGTTAGATATTTTCGTTCGGAAGACAAGTTAGAAGTAAATTTATGTTGCGGCAGAATACGACGAACAGCTACGTGATGTGGAATTGAGTAAATATGAGGTTTTCATTATTACTTGATACATGGTACTTGAATGGCCGGTCCTCACTGGTTATGCGAGACCCAGCATAATCAACATTCTTCGGAGATTTGCTGGTTAAGCCATCGTGGGTCCCTGGAATCCCGAGGTCAGCCTGACCGAAGTCTTCCGCAGGTCTTCACTACTACAGGCAGTCGCTGCCCTTGTGGATCAGTGGGCGACTTTCCACCATACGACTAGTTTGATACCGAGGTGGTGGTGGACCCTGATATTGGTTTACTCTTAGCTGGGCCTAATGTTGGAAACGCCGGGGTCTTTCTCTGCTTGGGAGACCCTGACGGGGCAATGAATCCCCCGCTGTACATCGCAGTCGGGCACCTAGAAACACCTTACAGCCACGATGAGGTGGTAAACCGTTGGGAGGGGTTGTTATTATGGCATTTGTTAATTTACAATAGCTGAACTTTCGACTCGTTCGCACTTATCAAAGCGTGGAAATGTCTAATTGGTATGCAAGCATTCCTTATACTACTCCTTCTTTTATAATTGCAATAATTTTATTCATTATTAAGCGATTATTAATCGTCCATTGGCTTTAATGGTTGTCAAACCCAAAGTGAAGCTTATCTCTTTCTCTGAAGTGCATAACTGTTTCAGATTGAAGAAATCCCAATTAAGGATTCAGAAAGCGGCGCTGGTAACCCTTTCGATGAAATACAGACTCGTCAAGGATTGTCTAAAAAGTTGCGAGTGAACGCCGCCAAAATTTTGGCCGAGGTATATATTTTCATATTCGAGATTCTTCATGAAAACATCTCGTTGAGCAGATCTTCTGGATATCACTACTCGGAGAGTTTGTGATTTGACACGGTGTTCTCGAATTTTTTTTTACAGCGGATCTTTTGTAGAAAAACACCATTTTGAAAAAAGCTTCTTATTTCACTTGACCCGTCGTCACATTTGCTGTGCGGATCAAAGCACTTCTTGCATTCGTTTCATTTTCCTGGCGTTCATCGTCCAGAAAGGCTTTCAACTTTTCGCGTATTTCGGCTACTGCTTGAGAATTTGGTCTTTTCTACGCATGTCGTAAAATGCTAGTAGAATCGGTTCTCCTTGCAATCTTGGAGATAGCTGGGCCAAGGCACTTCACTGCGCTACCACTTAAAAGGATAATGGAAAAAGCTCTCGGCGTTGATCAATCCCTGAGAGATGCACCATGCACTCTACTTCATTATGCATCGTTGGAGGTGATTGAATGCATATCTGGCCTTTACAATGACTCACGGTGGTCTACCGATATATCCAGCCAGTGTTGTCATCTTGCCAGACAACTCTGGCACCAATTTGCCTACTCCGGTGGGATGGAAGGCTTGGTTGGCCGTGGGTGCGGGGATCGATTCCACGTGTGCGTTGCAGAGCCCTTCTGACCACTGCACTACCCCTTACCCACTTTTAAATAAATGGATCCTAAAAGTGGCGCCGTACGAATCAGAAAGATTTTCCACTTCTTCCTCAACTGAATTCTTTTTTTCTTCATTTTTCTTAATTCGAGATATTTTCTAGGACGAGGACGCAGATCTGCTGCCAAAAAGGAATCCGTTCGAGGACGATGGAAATGAAGGGTTTCACCAGCAAAAAGTGAAAGAACAGCAAGCTGATTTGGAGGGGGCTGGGAATGCGGTGCAGAACATTGCTGTGGTGAGTGAGGCTGATTTTATTACTTAGGATATCAGTGTTTAAACTTTTTATGATAAATTGAACATAAATGATGAAGCTGGAAAGTTCGTACGATATTTGAGAAAAAATTTCTACTTATTTCATTTTGCAGGTTGTATTTGAAAATATAAGAAGCGTGAGACATTCAAAAGGGGGCTATTGTAGCTTGTCAAGGAGAACGAAGAAAAAATGAAGTGTGGAAAAGTCAAAAAATGATACAAAATATATAAAAATATATATAAAAAAATAAAAATATATCGAGATTAAAAGAAAATCGGGTTTTAAAATATCTCCGCTCTGTGCTAGCTGATAATGATAAGGATTTCTGCAGAGTGGATTGTCTTTAGACGAGCAAGTTGTTATCACCGCACAATCACCATCAACAACACCTGCCTTCAAAAAAAGACCATCGCCAGGTGGCGACCCCTCATTCGAGCAGTATTCTACTAGAAAAGATCCAGCTCGATACGATGAGGAAGATACCGCATCAAGAGTACGATGAACTGTGGACACCGAATAGGATCATCGGCTCACAGGAAGGTGAAGACGTCAGAACGCTAGCTGAATAAGGTTCTTTGTCAACCTCGTATAAGTTTATTAATGGAAGAAATAGAAAAAATAAAAGTTTTTTCGCCATCTACTACAACTGCCTACTCAGCAAATTCATTTCTTTTTCGCTAATTTCAATCGCGGATTTTGTGACGGAAGTGATATGACTCAACTGCGTCCTGCTCTCTGAACGACATTGCGTGGAAGAGGTGTGACTACTGAAGAATTAGACCAGTACTCAGCTATTAGCAATTCATCATCGAGTAGCACTTAGAATAAACAGCCTCTGTATAGTGCATTCCATATTTGTCGACGGACTCGGACAGAACTCTCCAGATGTCGATCATCCTGTTTCCACTAGTGCAACTTGAAAGAAAGGAATTTTGAGGAGTGACATCATGTGACGACAATGGCGACGCACTTTAAATCAATCAAAAAAAAACTCCCTCACCTCAAGTATGACCGCTTGCGCAAGCATGTGAGTTTTTCTGCCTCTTGTGAAACTAGTGTAGATTGCCGTATGAAGAGCTGCTACTGGACTTGTCTTACGCAAGACTTCGGCGATTCGTCTAGTGACACTCAGTTTGGGGACGGATGAGCACTACGCATATAACTCGATCATACCCCCATGATTTTCACCTGTTTCAATTTTTCGCTTCGCCGGCTTCAACGATTTTGAATCAAACCGAAACTTCGGCAGACAGCTCTTGAACTCGGTACTACTAAAACTTAGCCCAATCTTGCCCTGTATTTGCCTGAATATTGAGACCAAATGACCGATCAGCATGGTGACTACATCGTTGGATGAAAGAAACCGTAGGGAAAAAGATTTGAACAATAAATAATTCATAGAAGTACTTCGTTGAATCATAGATAGTTATCGAGTGAAGAGAAAATTTTGAAGGCAGCTGGACGAGTGCCACTGACCAAGTTGGGATTGTCTCAAAAAGAAGTCTATTCGCTTTGTTCCAGATTTGCCCCAGTCGCTGCCAAGGTGATGATGTTTATTTCGGCTTTCCCCTCTGTATTTTTTTTTAACAATGTGGTTTTAGCACTGCTATGGCACCAAAGTAGAAGAGCGGTTCTTGGAGAAATGTCGTGGATACAATGAAGATTGCTCGTCATTTTTTGCTCAGGTGAGGCCAATTACTGTAATGGGACGGGTAATTCTTTTTTAAAATGATGCTTTTAAATAACTTCGCACAAAATTCTATAGACCAATGCGAAACTTTCAAATCTCACGCTTGACTTGTTGCTACCAAACATTCTTAATCGGCATGAAATTATCTGCTCATAGACAAGTTAAAATTCCGTCACTGTGTCCAGAAACAGTCCTATGAAGGTCAAGAGTTATATCGCAAGCGTGTTACCTTTAATCTTGCCAAAAGTTGGGTAATAATTATATATAATTTTATCCGATTACTGGCTTTGTTCGTTAACCACCTTTCAACCCGCATCCGTGAAAAATACAAGATTTGGTGCGTAATTTTCGGCTATCTCTTAAAGATCAGCCGTTTACCTCCTCACTGATATGTTGAATACTGGTTAGCTGGAGTTTTCTTGAAATTCCAAAACAATAGTACTGCATTGTTTTATTAGATGAGTGAACGAGCGCTGTAGAAATTGGTCAACCAGAGGAAATTTTCCACTTAGTAATATTTGATGTTGCACGAAAGAAATCATCGACAGAGCGAGATTGGCCAACTATCGACCATCAACATTAATTCCCATGCTGCTACAACAAAGGTTTTCATGCTGCTTTGACGTTGGCCGTCAAGATAATTTTGCTGAAGTGGTGTCGATTGTCGATCCTCACTCTTTACACCAACGACAACGTTTTTATGGAATTGTAAAGCTTTCTATAGTAAAGTTGCTCGACCGCTCATAAAGAATTTTTCGACACTGAGTTGGAGAGCTTTGCCACCCAGAACATCCACTAATGTCTCACTTTGCTGTCTGACTAGACATCTGCGAGCAGGCAAAGTGAGAGAAATCTGTTTCTTTAATTCTCACAATTCTTCATTGAGTTTCATTATCGCGTGGATATGATCACCTAGGCTAAATGTTTTTCGAAACCCTGCTTGTTTGAGTGGTTTTCCCTCTTCTACTTTTGTATAAAATGAGTGAAGACTTTTCAAACTACAGACAGCACGGTAATTCGTGATAGTTGCTGATCTGGTTTAGGATGCTGTATTCGAGCTATAACACGGTTTTACTCATTTTATATTGATTTGAAACCTTTCATTCCCCCAGGTAACTTGTGAAAAACCGAAGCAGTGTGCTTCTGAGGGCTGGCTTTTGGTCTGTCAGATGTTCAGATATATTTTTCTCTAAACTGAATCTTGTGTGGTTCTTCAGCAATGAGATAACATTCAAGAATTCGGAAAAGAGGCTCGCAAGATTGTAGACTGTTGCACAAAGGGCAAATAAATGTACATAATAATAGGTGGTCGTGGTTACTGAGAGGATTAAAGTGGAAATCGTGAACAATCGTCTACACTGCTTTTCTTTGACATAGTGAGCATTTTGTTTGGATACACCAGGATGATTGCTTTTGCCTTGTAATTCAGAAAGACTTGGTACACGTTTTGGAATGCTAACCTCTACCAGGGCAGCCTCAACCAGAACAGCTGCACCCTTCCATTTGAACCTTCTTCCGTAGCTTTTCTGCTCAGCGCTCTAAGTTCGGACGTGAGTGGAGGCTTTTCATGGGCTGCCCAATTCCACATTGGTGTGTCAGCTCGAAAGAGCTTTCCTCTGTTGACTTTAGAATCCTCGGCTTTTTCAACGCTGTCGTGAAATTATTGATCCACGCTAAATCGCTCGTGATCCACGTGGATTTACTTTGCTGTTGCAAATGCCGTTATTAAGCTCTTTACTAGGAAACTATTACATCCAGTACTGACAGCACTTTTAGAATTTTAAAATTGAGATGAATTGTAAGTGTCTAGATGACCCGAGATTTTAACGCTAACGTTTTTTTCAAGCATTCTTAATCGACCCAACAAAGGATGGCATGTCGGAGGCTGTTTCGGATTCAGAGCCGTGAGGGCACTTGTTCTTATGGTTTGCAGCTGGTAGTGCTCCTTAGTAAATTCTGAGCTCTGCTATAGATATGCTATAGGGCTGACGTATTGAGTCTTTTCTTTTCCATAGTGAAAATGGGACATTGTGTGAGCACGAGACATTCTGTTCATCCAACATCTTTTAAATGTGGATGGATTTTTGATAGCATTAACGTTCGAGATACATCCTGCATACAGTCGAGAGAAAGCCTGCATGTGTGCATGAACAGGGTTGAATACACAGAAGAAGAAGAGAAGAAGTACAAGAAGTACAATACACACACTCAGAAGGCGCAACCCATAGCTTCAGGTCAGAAATCTGCATCTTCGAAAAAGTGTGTGGTTCTTTCTGATCTAGGTTTAAAACCCCAACTATGTTTTCTCGTGGCTGACAGGCGGAGGAATTTTCAACAATTTGGATCCGTAGATGAAGATATCATGGGCCAGAGCAGCTCACTTATTGAACTCGCGCAATTTATTTGTTCAGAGATGTAAAAAAAAGTATGTTGGATGAAGAAGTATAGATAAGGCTCTAGTTGTGAAGTTTAAAATGACGAAGTCTCAAATATTTTTATAAATGTAACGGTAAGGTATAAACGGTATAAAGGTAAGGTAAGGTAAAGCTAACGAGTAGGGAAGTTTGGGAAAAAGAAAGGTGCACATAATGGCAGAACATGGGGTGTATAACTCAATTTTTATTAGGTTTAAGGAAGTATTTGTGTAAAAGGCCAAAAAATTATATCTGATGATGAGGTGAATTGGGAAACTGCTACTGACTAGTCAAGGCTGTGGTTTGTATGCAAGATTTGTAAGACCCACAGAAATGTACTTGCTGACGGGTCGGCAAGAGAATTCGCGATTCTTCGAATTTTCTAGGACCGACCTCTTGGAGCAATTGCGAATGCATTCTCGTCGGGTGTTGGTCTAACTTATTATACATGGGACGTAAACGGAATTCCGTACTATCCAGTGAACGAGGAAGGGTCAATCGGTAACGGACACAACGCAAGGGTGAGAAGTTTTTCTTTTTTAATGAATTTCTTTCTTTAAAAAAGGCTATACAAATACGTTATAAGTTATTAAGCATTATTTATTACATAGCAACATTTTCCACTTTTAATGGACGGAAAACGACGAAATCTAGTTTTTGAAAATAAGAAAGGATAAAGATGGATGATGAAGCGTTCAGCTTTGGTCGATACCCGCCATGCATTCGACTTCATCGCGCTTCATATAGGTGATCGAATGCATATTTGGCTTGTGCAAATTGAGAGGGTCTGAAGTTGGTCATTGCCTTCATCCTCCCATATAAATCTATGCGAATTTGATGACTTTAGAGGGATGGGAAGCTTAGTTTTCCATGGAAACCCTGAAGAAGTCAAAGCTATGCTCATAGTAGAGTACTTCTAACCACTGCGCTGTACGACCTCTTTTTAAATTGTGAGGCGGTTATTATACAAAAGCATTGTGCTGTCTGTTCAGTTAACAATTTTCAACTAGTATTTGATAGCTGTATTCCAGATCGACTTTGGCTCGTGGGGAGGTGGCTACTCGGACAACTTAGGCGTGAGGGATTTTTGGTCGCAGACTCAGGAATACGGAGGAAATTGGTATGAAGGTATGCGGTATTTTATTGCACACTTGTTTTTAATCGTAAGAGTATTTTTTGCAGGAACCTATGGATATAAGACTGGTTGGAGCGTTCCTCTAGTGCAGAGCGCTGGAGTTGAAGGTGGCAGTGGAACTCAGGTCTTTTCTTTACCCTCACGAATTGCACTTTCATTTTTCTCAGAGCTTCTTTTTGTAATAATACATTTCCAGATCATATTCGAATCAGCAGTCTGTTGCCTTAGTCTGGTAACATTTATAGATCACTTTTCATTGTGAAGCGCAGTACAGTTCCGAGTTATCTAACTTATCTATGAAGCATTTTGACAGCATTAGTCGATTCTGTACTTACAACAAAACGTCATGCACGGAATGTTTGGCATGTCAACCGTGTAGCATCAGTACAATAGCTTATAGCTTTGCTGAAAGGCAGAGCTATTACAGTGCTAATTATGAATGTCCCATAGTCGCCGGTATTTTCGCCACTCAGCAATGGAAGCCGGCTGGGCTGTATCGCTGATGTTAGAAAAACATAAGCTGTTGGAAATCCTTGGGGCGTTGATATGCCTTTGAATAGTACGGTCTCGATCGACCTCGATCAATGCGATTTGCCGCAGCGCAGGTGGTTCGTAGTTACCACCGATACGGTTTAATAGAGTTGCAAGCCTGTAAGAATATTAGCGGAGCCGATGGATCCTACGGGTTTTTAAACCATTCAGTTGTTGGTAATCGAATTTAGTAACATCGGACATTCGATTCTTTACTAACTTGAAAAAAATTTCCTTGTAATGGAAGATTATTTTAGAGGGTTTTATAATGTTAGAAAAGTAGGAAACAACGCTAGGATTAGAATCGTAACCTTTTATTTACTGCCTTTTTCTTTTTAATGACGAGGTATGTTGCGAAATATAACTCGTATATAATGCTGAGATATTTGCAAAACTCCGGACCGCAGGCGTATGCGGTGGGGAACGAACGCGCGCTATTGTCCTTTCCGGGGAGTAGCGCGTTCACCACCACACCACGCGGGTCCTTCGTTTTTCCTGTCTCTCAGCTAGTTCTACTGATCTTTTGCTATTAGCAATCACCCGTCAACGGGATTGATCTAGAAAGCCCAAATCGGCATTTTTGGGTTATTATAGGGTTAAGATTGTGATATAACTAAGCCTCAGCTTAACTGGGTTCAATGCCGATTTGGGCTCTCCAGATCAATCCCGTTGACGGGTGATTGCTGATAGCAAAAGATCAGTAGAACTAGCTGAGAGACAGGGAAAACGAAGGACCCACGTGGTGTGGTGGTGAACGCGCTACTCCCTGGAAAGGGCAATAGCTCGTTCGTTCCCCACCGCATACACTTGCGGTCCGGAGTTTTGCAAATATCTCAGCATTATATGATAGGATTAGAATTGGTCATAGCAAAGTTGTTGTACCAAAAATGAAAACCAATCATTGTCTTGCGCTTCATTTTTGCGAAGTTTTTTGTAAGAGCAATGGAATATCCAATTTAGGTAAACATACCTATCAAGGAAGGGGAACTCGGTCGTCCCATCATGGTCACTAACGGCTACCACGTCGGACCGTATTTCGGTACCGCTGATCGCGTCGGTGTTGACTGGTACAATGGTGGAGTTTCGTGGAACAGGGTACGAAACGTTTCGCACCTCAATTTGAAATACTACTTACTGGAAGTCAATGGCCTTTGAAAAGACCTCAGCATCGAATGTCGGACTAATAAATGCGATTTTAGTTCAAAAATTAAGAACGATTAATTTTATATTGAGTCTTAGAAAAAGATAGTGAATTCACATCCAGATCGCTGTTGCTTTTTTGAGATGCAACTAGATAAAAAAGCGCTTTCTTAAATGATTAAAACTTTTAACGGTTAAGTAATGTCTGGAGCGTTTAGTGCAGTGGTTATAGGTGTCCTCCAGCACACATTTAATCCGTTTTTGGTTCGGCCGCACCGTAGAGCAAACTAATTCATATCCTTCCTTCCTTCACACTGGGTTCTGCGAATTGATATCAGACCTGTCTAATAGGATAGAAGTCATTGTAAAGGCTGGACCCGCATTCTCCACCGCTTCGATGCTCCACTGAGTCGAATGCTTCGAAATTCTCTGAAAGATTGATCCACGCTAAACGCTCAGTCCTTTTTACGCCGTAAGTGTTGTTAGTCCTCTGAATGGCTTACCGCCTCATCATGGTTAGGAGGTGTTCCCGGGTGTCGGACTGCGATGTACAGCGGGGAAATTCGTCTCCCTGGCAGAGTCTTCCAAGCTGAGAAGGAATCTCGCGTTTCCATCAGAAAGCCTAGCTAAGAGTAAGCCAATGCCAAGATCCACCAACGTTCTGGTATCAAAGTCGCATGGTGGCAAATTTCCCTCTGGCCCACAAGGACTGCGACTGCGACTGCAGCTCGTGGTGACGACTTGGGACAGACTTTGGCCGTGCTGTCTTCGGGATTCCAGGGAACCATAATGGTTTAGCCAGCAAATCTCCGACAAATGATGATTATGCTGGAACCCGTACACCTAGTAAGGACGGACCGTTCAAGTATCAAGTACGAAATAAGTGTTGCTGGTAGGTACGGAAAATTCCTAGCTTGTGTATTGAATTCCGCAAATTTTTCGAAATATACGCTTTTGCATGCTTGAGAGTACTCATTCTTGTGAAGTATTTTTACATTAGGTTTTCGGGTACATTAGGTATTACATTCTAAGAAAACATTGCTACGCTGCGAAGTGTTCTTTGAAAACGTGTTCAAATTGAATTTGTTACAAATCTCTTCGTTCAGTCTTTGTTATTCTTCAGGGTGTGGCGAGTCCTTTTGTCGGAGTCGGCGTCAACACAGGCACCTCCATTGGGTTTCCATCCGTTGCAACGTTTATGAACCAAATGGGGATCACCGATGTGAACCAGTTATCCCAAATTTTAGCCGCCGGAGTCAGAATACATGAAACCAGTGTAATGTAGGCTTAGCGCCAAAGAAAGAGCGTATTGCTTCAAACCGCTGAGATCGATCTCCTTGACCAATTTCTCTCCCTGTGAATCACAATCATTTTATTTAAATATGAAGCAGATACATACAAGCTGTTTGGTGCGATTCAAATGTTCTCATTGTTCATTAATTTGATGTCTTTTTTTGATAAATGCACACGAGGTTGTTACGATACCCTTCACTCAAAAAAGCTGACGTCTCGGTGGATTTCGCTTCCTTCAGTGTCTGGAATGGCCAAGTCAACCGCTACCTGGTCAGCCATCTCCATAACCCCTATAGGAAAATCGCAAAACCTAAACTTTTATTGCATTATCAGTTTTCAGAGTGCCACTATCCTATTAACCAGTTCCCACTGAGATTTGATATGAAAAGACTGCTGCCGCTTCTGGTCAAATGGACTTTGAGACGTCCATTTGCAATATTTAATAAAAATAAATACTGTTTGAGGAATGTGGTGAGACAATGTTTGCAAGCTTCCTTCAGAGTTGACTCAAGCACTAAGTAATAAAACAGTACAAACGTCGTTTTATTCAAGTTGAAAAAATACCCACTAAATAAGATTTTGACCACTCGTTAGCTCAAGCACGCAATATCCACCCAGAACTCGCAAATGTATGGGCCCAGAGAATGAAAAGTTCACTTTCTAAAGGAATTCAGTTATGTTTTTATTTCGACGGTCATTTGAGATCAGATAGGAGGTTCATTTGGAAGAACAAAAAACTTTTCGGTGGGTATTCTTTTCGACTTTTTAAGAAACTGTTCACATTTTCTGTTACGCTAGTTCGGGGCTACTAGTCGTTTTTTATCCCACATAAAGAAGTTTCTTTGCAACCACGATCGCAACCAACCATTCTTATTTCACAAATTTTCTCACGTCACCGATTGCTCCATTGAAATAAAAAATTTGACTAAAACTAGCCTTTTTCCAACTTTTTTTTGAACCCTTGTTTACAACGCAAAAAACAATCCCATTTCGCACGCAAGAATTTGTAACTTTGCGTAGCGCACGATCCCGAGTCCTCTATACTCCGGTCGCGAGAGAACATTTATAACGCTGCTAATCCAATTACAGTATTCACTGTCGGGTGTTGCTAATCCAGTCACGAAACGAGAGCCGATGTGTGCTATTAATTATTGCTGAATGTTTGTACAGCGGATCGGGCAGCAGTCGCTGGCAAATGGCGCCAAATCGTGAGCCAGTTGCGCCATCGAGCAGTCTGTTATATTGTTGAATCCGCAATGTGCATCATCATCAGCATGCATATCATCCCAAACGCCTGTCATTCTCTCGCAGGTACTCAACGAAAACAATTCGTCGGTAGGCCTCGGCACACGTGGAAGAAAAGCCTTTCAGAAAAGAAGACGAAATCGTCAAAAAATGGCGAAAAATCTTGCCTACGGATCGTTTCAGCTCAAATCGTCGAGAAAACTGGTAGTTTAAAGGCAACTTTTTCTAGTCACAGTGCAACTAGTTGGTCTGTTTTAGTGACGTTCGAACCGACGCTTTAGTCGACCTAACCAGGTGTAGCTAATAGAATGCGAGTTCAAGTGGCGTTAATCCGTTGTTCATAATTGGTTATGAGTCGCCGACAAAGCGATCCATCGGTCAATGAAGCTTATTTCGAATCCTCCACTTATTAGTCGAACGGCCAGAAATGACATATGTTGCGGTTCCATTGAAAAAATTTAGTTCGATGACACACTCATACGAAATATCCTATCTATAGCGGATTTGTTTACATCGTATTAACCTTCCCATCAACTATTCCGAGACCAAACGAATTCATCACTGTGCCATTCATCTCCTGCCATAGGAGCAAAGGTTGGAAGAACTTTTTCTGTCTTTTGAGTCAATCTTCGCGTCAAATTTAGTTTTTTTCCAGGAACGAGAGATAGAAAATAAAAATGCAGTTTTTCAAATCAAAAATTCTCACTGTGGAATGCCAAGTGCGAACTTCATAGAGTAGAATGATTAAATTTCTGTTCTTTAAAACGTGTAGTTGCCGAAGAAAATCATGCTTCGGTGACATCAGTTTCCATTCCAAAGCAAACAATGATTTCTTTGGTAAATTCATTAGCTAGGAACTTTCTTAACAATCGTAGAAAACCATTAAAAATCACAGCCTTGCTGTACCGCCCTCTCCTCATCAGATACGTTCTGCATAAAAAATGACATCGAGCATACCACGGTAATTACCGGTGTCGAGTAACCGCAGATGTGCGAAATTTTGCACACAATGCCGGCCATTCTGTCATCTACGAACGACGACGGAGAAGATGACGAGGATACTGTAAATAGCCGACGAGAGCAATAAACTATTCGTTTTGTTCGTCTAATTGAACGGGAAAGAATTCTCATTAGCCGCTCCTAGCTCGCAAACAACTTCTATGAATCTCAAAAGCACGGCCGGCTCGTCGGTCGGTATACGGTATCGATAATTGCCTGATAATTGCAACTCCTAATTGGCCGCTCATCACTAATTAGCGAAATAAGCTTTTATGAGAGCTACAAGATTGTTACCAGATGATGCCATAAACCCATTGACTTTTATGGACTATCTGAAAACCGAAATAGAGCTCCTAAAAGCACTTCGTAACATTAGAGTGTTCAGCTGGAAATCTCTTCGCAAACGCGGTTTTGAACGGTTTTGGTAGAAAAAAAGACCTCAAAAGACTTTAGGAAGCTTTTTGGTATGTTTGCGTATTTCATACAGGATTACAGACAAAATAGTAGTTGTGCGGTAGCAACGTTACTTAACCATGAACGGGAGCTATGAAGGCTATCACTATTCAGATAGAGGTGTTTGAGTGATGCGGTTAGGCCACTTGACTGCACTGAACTCATTGTACAGCGGGAGTTAAGGGTCAGCACTCGAACTTTTGGATGGCAAAGTTGCGCTAGTCAAACACATAGGTCATCTAATGAATTGACTAAGGCGTCGAATGGCAACAATGGTCATTTACATCAAACAAACGCGCCGCATAACTTTATCTCACCAAGGAAGAGAAGAACATAGAGAGAGAAAAGGAAGATTAAAGAAGAGAAATGCACAGGTTCACAAAAAGTAAACGAGTAGGAACGTGTAAGAGTTGCCTCTGGTGACATCAATTCGGCTATCTTTAAGCCTATTAGTAACATGAGAACTTCAGTACTTCAAATTTACTTCGAAAGAGTCATTTAAAAAGTAGCGGATCCGTCACATAAAAAGAATTAGGATTTTGTTTAACTGGTTAATTACAGAATGGGATTTTTTATTTATGCGAACGGAACCAATTTAAGTAGGTGACATTAGTTTAAGAGGGAAGGAAATCGTTCGATTTCTTTTTTGCACGCAATAGAATAATAAAAAATTTAACAGGGTTATTTAAACCATGTTTTGTATTTGTAGATTCAGAACGCAGCTGAGAAATAGGCGAAGCGAGGGACTCGCATGGTGTGGTGGTGAAGGCGTGAGATTCTGGAAAGGATAATAGCGTGTTCGGTTCCCATCGCAGACACCAGTGGTCTGGAGTTTTGCAAATGTCTCACCAACATAGTAGCAATATTTCACATAATACCCAGCCATTAAAAAATAGTAGGCAGTAAATAAAAATTGACGACCCATAGACTCATACACACAGTTGATCCATATTCATCTCATACCGTGAGCTATACTTTCCAGGCATTGTGATTTTTAGTGATGGGATCAAAATATAGTGAAGTCATTTGCAACGCAAAAGTGCGGTGAAGAAAAACTCTCAAAGGGAGTTTTCCAATAATTCGTCGACTTCATGTGTGTGGTTGGTTTGGCTTTGGCGTAGTGGACGTGTTGAAGACTCGTTGCCCACGAGTTTTCTAGTTGTTCGCATTTACATTGGAAATAGACTAAATCAGTTAACACTTTTTCGCTGCAAAATGTAATGTTTCTTGTTCTAATTCTTTGGGCTGAACTACATAGAATAAAAGCAGATGCCGCTTTGTATGGACTCGAATGTCGTGCAAGTCTTTCTCCTTGACATCGTTCTTCTGCTGTTCCGTTACAAAGTTCTGGTTGTTGTTCTAGGGAACGGTCACCTCTGACTCCCTCTGTCGGCTTTTCACTCAAAACACCATTATCAACATCTTTTTCGATCATCTGAGGACTCGAGACCATTTTCGCTAATACGAAGTAAGCGATGTTGATGGCATTGCTCGTCGACAGAGTGCCGTAAATGGCTGGCCATACACCCTGCGGGCAGCAGCGAATAATTTGCTGACTGACTCGCCAACGACAGCGATTGCTAGCGACAAGCTCGCATTTAACGGGACCACTAATCGAATCATTATGCCACGGATAGACATACACCACATGACCAACTACTAGCGAAATCCTCTGAGGTGTCTGTTTTTGGAAAAAGATCAGTACCAACTCTCACTCAGCTAACAATCAAATCGTTGTCATTCCTGCTAAGCTTACTCATAAAATATGCACAGGAATTGTTGATATATGCCTGCAAACGACACAATCTTTGAGAAACACTGATAGGAAAAAAATGAAGCATAGGTTACTGTTTCAGTTGACTAGCGATCAAACTGCTCTTCAAATTTGCAAACACTAATGGAAAGCACCATAGAAAGCCATTAATACTGGTGAGCGTCAGAGGCTAAAACTTTACTGGAACCAATGAAAATCTCAACAAGAAACGTTTGAAAGACTGCAGCAACGATATTTAATTGATTGTTCAGCTTAGAACTTTAAGAGTTCTGATGATTCTTTTATCTTCTCTTCTGAGAAAAGAACAATTCCCTTTGGAAGGACAAAGGATAAGCCATAAAGCTTCCGGTGTTGATCCTTCAGTAGCAGGTCATGTAGTCGACACTCTCAAATAATGTAGAGGGAATTGAATGTATATCTACCCTATGCATTGGTCTTGGCTGGTCTACCAATGTATCAAGTCGGAGCTGCTATACCCCCAGGTAAATGTGGTACTAATTTCTCGTCCGCGGAAGGATGGAAGGAATACTTGGTGACCTTGAGAAGCAGCATCAGACGACGTGTGCATTACAGGACACGTCTAATCGTTGTATTAAACACGCCCTCGGGTTGGACAATGGAATAAAATATACGTCCATTGATGGGAAGTGAGTGTACATAGGCCGCAATACAGCGAATACACAGCCACATCCTTTGAAGTACCAACAGACCAGATATGATAAATTAAGAACAGGCATATTACTTCAACTTAATCAGTGTCTTCACAGCTTGTCAAAATTGTCGCTCCTGATCGCGAATACGATAGGCAGATAGAGCAAAAGTAGTCTTTAATGGAGATGTCACAACATAAACGATCAGAAGCCCACCATTTGTCCATGGCATGACGTGAAGAAAAATCTGCTGACGTAGACACTCTAAAAACATAATTTTCTTCAATCTCAGTATGACTAATCGAAATCTATTTTTTCCACTGATAAGCCAGCACGAGATCGATGAAAAAAGTCTGTTCGGCTGACGTTTTGGAGCCTTCCTCTTTAGAGTCGGCTTGTTGTGAGACGATTGCCCACAGTTTTCCTTCTTAACGTGTGTGCCTTTGTGATCACACCAAGACAAATCCAGTGGAATATTGCTCGAATAAAACAACCTCACTCGGTATCGCTCTTTCATAAAGAGCGGTGGTTGGTATCAATTTTCTGTTATAATCGTTTGTTTTCCTTCGGACAGTCAATCTTGAAGGAGTTGGAATCTTTTCCAAAAAAGATATGTTGATAAGACTTTGCAAAAGTGAGGTGAATTCAGCACAAGTTAGATTGTTATAAAAATACTTTCACCACCTTAATGAAACGGTAAGCGTTACTCATATATCAACACGTGGCTTGCTTCCCGTCTCTCCAAGTTTAATACAAGATCGCACTACAGTGTTTCACACTAATATATGCGAAATACAACCACAATAATGATGAGATATTTGCAAAACTCTGGACCTCAAAAGGAGAAACGAAGCACCTGCATTGTGTAGTGGTGAACGCGTTAACCCCCGTAAAAGGTAATAGCGCGTTCGTTCCCCACCACGGGCATCTGCGGTCCGGAGTGTTGTAAATAACTTAGCACCATAGTGGTTGTATTTCGCATAATACCCTGCCATCAAAAACTGTAGTAGGCAGCAAACAGAAAGTTAGTATATGCAGAATTTCTAAGGACTTTTTGGTTCGACGAAACGTTTGTCTATAATTAGCCGTACAAAGCATTCAATAACCGTATTCTTGGTATCAAATGGTTACGGTAATTAACGCATTGCACAATGACGATTAAGCGCTGCAATGTGTTCACACCCACATCAGCAATTATGAAAAACATTCATCTGCCTGAGAAAGGAGGAAGTAAGGAGGCAATAGCCAAAGAGAAACACGTAATCGGTCGTTCTGCAACTATTTCATCATCGGAACGTGCAAATTTGCTGCTTACTAAGGAGGAATCACCACTGGTTCATCGTCATTCGCGGCATATAAGGCAACGAAACTGTGCCGGTTTCCGTTTTCAATCTTTGTTTCCTTGCCATACGCGAGTCATTTAGATGCTTCCCACTCCTGGTTTGAGTTTTTAGAATTTTTTAAAGATATTTCTTCGTCCTTAGTATGCTGGAGATCATCACCGAAGACGTAAAGCTGGTTTGACAGAATTTGTTTATGTGTTAGAAAAGCCATTCAATGAAGACTCCATATTTATTTTTGGCTTAAAGACTGATCACTCAGTGCATTTTTCCAGTAAGATACTTCCATATGTTAAAGCAGTGCTTCCAAAGATGAGCAAAGATGTTGGCTATGTGAAAAATAGCCCTTCATGAGGAATGGATCAGTTTCGCTTGTAATTTGTACAGTTTCTGAAACTAGGCTTATGATTAGGTGGTATATTTGTCTGAATTAGTCGTACCCTCGATAATCAATGTGTCTGAAAAATCACTCACTGCACCTTCAACCAATCAATACCCACGAATTCTACAATCATAATGGCTTCATTACAAATGTGACCAATGTGAATACATAAACGTGGATCGGATTAAAATTCCCGTTCTGGGCACTTATAGATTTAATACGATCAAACGGATTCGATGGACCTCTCGCAACTCGTTGCTGGCGTTTTGTCCTGTGTTTTAAAGTATTCAGCCGACTGCACTTGCGTTCTACACTTGCAAAAAACGCAAAGCGTTCATAATATTGTTGTAAAATCCGGTATGTTCAACTGCGCACGTCAGGCCTCCTTAAGGGCTTCTTGACGAAAATACTTAATAAAAACAAGTACTGATGGAAATAAGTATTAAAAGGCATTTAAAAAAGATCTGTATGTATCACAAAGGTTAATAACAGGCTGAAAAATATCCAAATCATCCAGCTACTCTCTAATGAAAACTGGAAAGATAAGCAATTGCAGTGAAAGTTGCATAGTGAATAGCTCAGGAAAACTCAACTCATAGTGAAGCCACAGTTCTTTTTCTCTCTTTTTCTTTTCTTCTCTCTAGCGGTAGTGATACTGCCATCTGGAAATGGAAAAGGAGGTCTTGTCGAAAGCAGCCAACATCAAACGCGTATGGAAAGCTGCTCACATGGGATTTCAAGGAGACCAACCAAGAGAGTGTGACCATTCCTAGCACTGGTGCCAACATTGCTTTCAAATCTATATATGCAACATCGTTCTGCGTCTTTCGTTTTCGAAACAGTGAAACAGGCGACGTCACCTCTGAAAATGCCCTTCATCAGCGTTGTTTTGCATAATCCGTTGGCGAACGTTGACATTGTGAGCACCGCCCAACGGAGCAGTCGACCAATCATCGGCAGCCGTAACGCCTCCTCTCGTTACTGTCGTGTGGCGATTAGCGGTGTAAATATGATGATGGCCGATTCGCAACCGGCTCGTTTCTCCATCGAGGATCTGCTGCGATCACGACACACTATTTTGGCCAACGTGCTACCAAAGGAAGACGCGAAGAAATTCGACGAGCAGCACCGTGTCGCACTACCCACGGCGCTTGCACCCGTTAGTGCTGCTGGTGTTCCAAACGCTGAACAAATACCGTTTTGGCTCAGCTGCGCTGCGGCATCATTTCCACTTGAACAGAGTATCCTGATGGCTCAGAGGACAGGTAGCGTCTATTCATCTCGTCAGTGAGAGTCCTTTGACAGCATTCTTTCATGAGTATGCTTGAATACCTGTTCCATACATGTTCTAATGAAGTCCTCCATTAGTTGGTAGCACCATAAAGAGTTCTTTTTGCCCCTTATACATGGCAGTATACAAGACACCCACATATGCTAGTATAATGGTGCGAATTCGGAGTTTTAACAAGAATAAATTCTTAACAAACGTTTATTTTATAAGAAAGGACTCGTTGACTTCAAAGCAATATATTAGCTTTGTAAGTAGGAGGTCAAGTAGTTATTTAGTAGGTCAAATTATAAAAGCTTTCATTTCATTAAAATTCCGATCTTTCAGTTCTTCCTCAGCTATGGGCTGCAGCCGCTTCGTCAGATGCACTACGAATTGCTGCCACCAGCAAATCGTACAGAAGGTACTGTTCATTTCTTTGGTCATCTTCTGCATCGTCTTTCTTATGAACGGAACCTCAACGTTACATTTATGGCTCTTTTTTCTGGTTGATATACGTTGTGGACAAATTATTAATACTCGGTAATCGCCCGTTTGGTTAAAAATGTCGGACTTCAAATTATTCCGTTAGCTCTGGTGGAATCCATCACCGCCGAACAATCGAGGCCTACGACCCATCGAAGGTGTGATGGTTAAAGTTTATCTCAAAAGTGTTGTCCAAGGAGCGTACAACAATTTTGCTGAGCCCACCGTTAACGGCATTTCATTTTCATAGAAAATCGTTACTCGTCAGATAAAACAAGCGATCAATAAGTAAAAAATACGAGGAGGAGAAGTTCATTGTAACATTACAGATAGTTCATGCATAAGAGAGTTCATTGTTCTACCAGCACACAAGAAATAGAAGCAATTCATTAATTCAAATTCGGCGGGACAAACCCACTTTGTTCCAACGTTGTAGACAGTTGGTGGTAAAAGAAAGAATTGATACTCTCCATAGATCAATTCATTGCGGTTTATTATTGGTCTCTTTTTCTTTCTTTTGAGGTTGCTTCATTCTTCCAATCATTTCTATGGATGACTCAGTGAGACGGACTTAGTCCTAAAATTTAATCGAATTTGTCCACACTTCAAATTGAAATATGAAAACGCATATCTGTTGAAGTGAAGGTTTGGATATTTCCAAAGATTGCAATGCAACAAAAAGAATGATTCTATTTTGTGCAAGTCCGAAATCAAAGTTATTCTGCAATATTTTCTGCTTCCCAGCTAACGTTCTGTTTTCTTAGTTGTAGACGAAAGGCTCGAACGGTGTTTTCTGATCAGCAACTGCAAGGGCTCGAGAAGCGCTTCGAAACGCAACGATACCTCAGCACTCCAGAGCGGATTGAGCTAGCGAATGCCTTGAACCTCAGCGAGACACAGGTCACTTTGGACATTTTGTGTGAAATATTACGGAAAAGATCACTGCTCGTAGTCGGTCGCCTCATATTACTTCCATTGTTGAAGAAATGTTTGAACATCAGCGACGAGAACTGCTCGAAATTCTGGAAACATGCGTTTTCACTATCTTTTCTAGTTCAAGCACAACCAAACTACTCCTTTTGCTCGTTTAGTAGCATTCGTACTGCCTTACTATGCTTCACACAAATCCTGAGGCCAATTGTTACAAAGGAACGGTTACAGTTTGATACGACTATAGATTTCGCGCAGTCGCAGGCACGTTTTGCTGGACAAAGTTCTGCTTCCCTTGTTTCTAAATATGTTTGAAATACGACCACTGACAGCAAATAGTGGTAGAAAGTCATTTTTGAGGCACTAGAAAACTCATGGTGGAGCAATACCATACAATATACAATCATATCTGGCTTCTCGGCACTTCCTTTTCTTTTGTTCAGTTTGCTGCGCAGAACTTTTAATTTATTAGGGCCTTACTCAAACCGGTTAAGTTTGCCGTTAATTGAGGCATGCTTGTGTGCTACATTCGATAGTCAGCTGATGTTCTTCTCGTGTTCTTATTTTTGGATTTTTCAGTAAATTCCAAATTTTTACAACCCACTTAATACTGAACTTTGTTTTTGTTTCTTATTCAATCAAATTTCAATACAGCTAATCGAATCTGAACATGAAAGAAGTCATTTATAGGCAATACGAAGTTGAGCTGATTGAGTTCTTTCTCACTAACTTTGGCCTCTATGTACTAGAGGACTTACTCTAGAATTACAATAACAATAGAATTGCTGCTGGCTTGAGCAAGTTCAGTGCGAAACGATCATAGTGCAGCCGTTCATCACCGGGGATGATCGCCAAGTGCCAGCAGTACTTTGTAGGATTTGTAGCGCACCTATCGACCACAACTGGAACGCGAGTCGTCGAGCAGTTTAGCATTCGAAATTGGTTCCCTGAAATGGGAACTGAACTCTGTTGTACAACATTGCGGTCCTATATCATGTGATGACGGTTCTGAGAACAGCATCTTTTCAAAACAGTTTCATAAACGTTTATTAACATATCTGCGAGGATATGAATCATATATTACTCATATAAACCACTATGATTTACACTTCTTTGGTAATCAGACACCATTATTCCTGCTCTACCATTGCGAATTTCTGATTTTCTGCAACCCAAGAATTCCTTATCAGGGGCATCGTATTCCCCACGGCAAAGCGAATAAGCATGTGCGATTTTATCCACAGGAAATGGACATATTTTAAACGCACCATTTGCGTTTTCCTACACTAACAACATTAAAAATCCTTGGCAGGTTTAAGGTATGGAATAATTTTAGATTATGGGTTCTTCCAAAATCTCCCGATTTCTCAATTCCTTAAATGTGTGTCATAGCTCATCTAACACTATCACCAGCTATCAAAAATCTGTGCAGTCGCAAATAGCTTATTGCAAAGAGTGGTCAAATGCTTTTTTGCGGATCTCTCTGAAATACCTAAAACCCATTGCAAATTAATATACGGTAATTTGGAAACCAAATAAAACAAATCTGTCCTTAATCGTTTGTATTCATTTCACTTATTACTGGCTCTAAAGTATCGGGACGTTTCCCGGCTTCTGTTTGGAATTGAACCTACGGCTACGCAGACGCCGGGGACAGTAGTGCGATTCGTCATGAGGCGTGAATGGAACCGTAATACCAACGATTAATATGGAAAACATCTAAGGATCTGACCAAGAAACTATAAATTGACCACTGATGATTTCCACAGTGTAAATGAGATAAATATTTATCTAGTAGTTCTCTGATAGCACCAACCATGAAATAGTTCGACGATGCATTACTGCAAAAAAATACAAAATAAAGTAAAATTACGCAAATTTTTCTCCAATCATCTTTTCCAAAAATAAGACTCTACACCGAAGTCCTTGCTTAACCTTTCTCTCAGCCACTTTTTCATTCTAACGGTGTAATCAGCGGTCACCCATCAACGGAATTGATCTGGGGCGCACAAATCGGCACTGGACCCAGTTAAGCTGAGAGTGCAGTCGGAATCACGATGTACTGCTTTTTATTTACTGCCTATTATTTTTTTTCATGATAGGGTATTATGTGAAATACAACTGCAACTATGCTGAGAAAATTTTATTACTTACTGCCTACTCTTTTTAATGGCAGGGTGTATTGGGAAATATAACTTCAATGATGCTGAGATATTTGCAAAACTCCGGACCGCAGGTGGCTGCAGTGGGGAACAAACGCACTATTATTCTTTCCGGGGAGTAACGCATTCACCACCACACCATGCGGGTCCTCCGCTTCGCCTCTCAGGTAGTTCTATCGATCACTGCCATCAGCAATCACAAAAAAAATAGCATTGGTAGTTTAATGATGCTGAGATGTTTGCAAAACTCCGGACCGTAGGTGTCTGCGGTGGGGATCGAACGTGCCCTTTACTGGGAGTAACGCGTTCACCACCACAAGAAAGGACAATAGCGCGTTCGTTCTCCACCGCAGACACCTGCGGCCCGGAGCTTTGCAAATATCTCAGCATCATTGAAGCTATGCTGAGATATTTGTAAAGCTCTGACCATAGGTGGGATTCGAATCTGTGACTACCTTTTCTGGGGGCTCACGTTTAATCCATTGCACCATTAAGGCTTCTGCTTTGCCTTTGGGTGGATGGAAAAACAAGAGCCTCTGTAGTACAGTAGATAACACGTGGTCCTCCGGAAAAGGTAATCGCGGTTTCGAATGTGGCCGAGATCTGGGTTTTGCAAATATCTCAGCGTCATTGTGGTCGTACTTCGCATACTATAATACCATGCCACGAAAAAAATAGGCAGTAAATAAAAAGTAATATGAATGTGTCGTTTTCTTGTTCAGCAATCGCGAGGTTTTTAAACAGCATACATTTACTTCCATAAAAACACAATACAATACAACGCTAGCTGACGTTTCGGCAGTATCGCCTTCTTCAGAGCCGCTTTTTCGTGGCTTCCAATGAGGAAGTTTAGAACAGCTGATTATAGTCGCATGGTTGACGACCACATGGAAGTAAATGTATGCTGTTTAAAAACCTCGCGATTGCTGAACAAGAAAACGACGCATTCATATTCCAATGCCGAGGTTAAGAGAAAGTCGATCTTGGGAACTATTACAAAAAGTAATATATTTAAGCTCAACACATGACCTTTATTTATGCTTGTGCTTGCAACATTTGGTTAGGTAAGAATCTGCTTCTAACACGGTTGCATTAAGAGGAAGAATTTGGTCCGCACATATCTAAAATTCGTTTCTACCAATTACGCCGTCGTCAACCGTGCTTGTAGCCTACTTTGAACCTCGGGAACATCTGCAAAACCATTTCGAGGTCTATGAAATCTCTTTGGCCGAGGGATGTGAACCGGCCACATATCCGTCCATCTACTCTGTAAGTAGTTGCACTAGAGAACGCCTGTATTTTTTGTCCATCTGTTATCACCTAATCTCGTAGCACCTTCAGCCCCTCTTTATTTCACTTCTAATGTATAATTTATTTATAAGCTTGCGCGTTCATTTACTAGGAATTGATCTACCTTCTTTAGAAGAAACTGCCCTTTACTTCCAAGTCCTTTCGAAAAGCACATTTATATATTCACGAAAGACCTCTCGCCGTGTTGTTTTCCTGGCTATTCTCATTGTTTTAATCATGCAAAGCCAAAATATGAGTGTAAAGAAAAAACTTTTCGTTCAAATTGTTGAAATTAATGTAGTTACTACTATAGGTGAAAACGTGGTTCCAAAATCGTCGCATGAAGCACAAGAAAGTAGTACGGAAGGACCACAACGGAGTCGACGTACAGGAAGAAGAGGAGACCGACTGGGCCGACGTCGTCATCTAGAATTCCTCCATAATGTCATTCCCTTGAGTTATCTTACATTAGCGCCTTTTTAGGTAATGCGTTTCGGGAGCTCCTAAGATGCATTACTATTTACAAAAACTTTCTCTCACCGGTACTTCCATCTTTGTGCGTTTTCATATTTTTCAATCACTATTGTACAGCTTCGTCATGATGTTTCATAGAAATGTTAAAACAAATGGTGGTTTTTTCTATCCTCTCATATGACAGTTTATGATAAAGAATTTTATTCGTGGTTTGGCGTATAGGACAGCACATTTATTGAAGGATAAAGCAAAGCGTTCTACTTAGATCAACCAATGACAGATCCGCTATGCATTCGACTTTACCGTAGTGTTTGTTAAAGGCATACTTGTCATATACAACGACTTGCGGTAGCCTACCACTGGTTAAGTCAGTGCCTTTATAGTCCCAGACAAGTCTGATATCAACTTGCCGGTACTGGGCGAAGGAATTCTTGGCTGGCACTGGGAGCCGGATCAAACCGACTACTCATGTTTGTATTGCAAAGCAACTCTAACCACTGCGCAACACGCGTCCCATAAGATGTCAGAAGACAACCAATTTGATAACGATCTTCAAGAAAAGGAAGAAAGATCATATGAATTCTGATTTAGGACGCCATTCCTATGTTTGCTGATAAATGGAAAAAATTAGCTTTGAATTCAAAACTAAAATCCAGCTCTAAAACAAAGTAGAATAATAGTCACTTTTGATCTATGCACCATGAGACATTCTCTAGCATATAGAGCAGATTTGGGGCGTGTGGCGCAGTGGGCGGAGGCGCCACGAAAGACACACGTGGAATCGATCCTCGCATCCGTGGCTCACCATGCCTTCCATCACTCCGGAATCGGCAAATTGGTATCAGACTTGTCTGGGAGGTTAGCAGCACTGGCTTGAAGCATTGGTAGGCCACCGCGACTCATTGTGTAGGCCTGAGATGCAATCAGTCACTTCCAACGATGCTCAATGAAATCGAACGCATGGCGCATCCCTCGAGGATTGATCAACGCCGAGCGCTTTATCGTTTATCTTTTTTTTATTTTATGGAGCATATTGTCTATCTTTTTCGAAAAAAATATAGTCGTACTTCTCACAGAGCAGCATGCCTATCGTCGTGTGAAACCCGACGTTTTAGATTCAACTACGGCGTACAAATCCACTGCACTCGCCCGGCTGTGCAATTCCTGTTGCTCGACCCTCATCATAGTTTACCAAACACTTTGGGGTTAACATCTCTATATTACATTACTCTTACTTGGTTGACATTGAAATCCAGTTTCGAAGTTGGAACGCTCATGTTGCACGCGTCCATGACTACTGAGCAAACTACTAGCTGCGCTATCCATCTGTTTCATGTTCCATCACTGCACCAGTACTTTTTAAACTCGTCTTTCTCATTTACTGTGCGGATCCAAGCACTTCTCTCGTTCGGTTCGTTGCCTTGCATCCATCATCCACGAAGGTTTTTTAGCATTTTGCATGCAGCCAATGGGCTGCTCCTTGAGGATTCTCTGTCATTACGAATTTTGTTGCATGCTGATCGATTCGATTCTCCCTGAAGTGCTGAGACAGCTGAGGTAGAGCACTCCTATTGGGATTACAGAGAGTGGGCTTTTCACAGACAAGTACGCCACCAATTTCCCGAGCCCGGAGGGACGGGAGAATTGGCGAGCGCGGAGCTAGACCGGAACCATGCTCCTGACGATCGCTATCACTACCACTATGCTATCCCCTCTACTAAACCATTATACTGGACTGAACTACTATACCACTCCCTGGAGAACTTCTCCAAGTTCGTATAGGACTTCATTTTCGCCATAGAATGATATCAGTGCGTAGACGACGAAGACTGTCAAGGCCAGTACTGATTCACATCTCTTCAACAGCAAACGCCCCGTTTGGGTTGTCAGTTGCTCGAATGAATCGATGTTCATTAACAAACTCGTGTTGACGAGAATGCCGGCGCCGCCGACTCCTCTACTGTCGCATGTTCCGAGGAACAGTTCTTCTCCGATGTCACAAACAGCGTTGATTGAGTAAGCGTTCTCGTTTCAGGCAGTCCGATGACATCGTATCTCTCTTTCTTGCATGCATGAACAAGTGCTCTATCAAATAGTTGGCTGCGAGTGAGCGTGTATTATATAGGTGCAGATTGTCACCTTGGTCCTTTACGATTTAGGCAGCCCGGAGTAGCCCTGAGAATTTAGCAAACTCTAGGTGCTAAAAACTACCCATCTTTTCGAGTAAGAAGATTCAATAAGACAAGTAAATTCAAAAGTGTAGCTTTGACATAGTATACAACGCCTGCAGTGCACAGTGGATGGATTGCTGATTCGAACCCAAGACCCATGCAAGTGTATTGGCAAAATTTGCATTAAGTCACCTCTACAATCCTTGATGAAGTGAAATGCACGGCTCATTTCTAAGCTATTGAACAACTATGAACGTTTACCCTCTACTTATACTGTATACATAAAAAGGATAAAGCTCTCGGCGTTGATCAATCCCTGAGGCACGCGCCATGCACTCGACTTCATTAAGCATCGCTGGAGGTGATTGAATGCATATCGGACCTTTACAATGACTCGCGGTAGGCTATCAATATATCGAGTTAGTGCTCCTATCCTCCCAGACAAGTCTGGTACCAATTTGCCGACCCCGGAGGGATGGAAGACCTGGTGGGCCATGGGCGCCTGGATCGATTCCACGTGTGTGTCGTAGTGGCGCCACCAACCTCACTGCACTACACGCGCCCTTTATACTTTATATATAGGGGTAACCAAATGGATTTCCCTTATAAGACTTCACGCCAGCTATACGCTAGGCAACGCGGCGCGAGCCCATGTGGTGGATAGCGGGTTAATCGCGGAATTAAATGACCATCTGCTTCTCTGAGACAAAGATGAATCCAGGCAATGAACTTCATGTTTCTGTTGCACCGACTTGGCAGCTACCCCTTGTGTTTAAAAAGACTATTCAAGCATGCATGCATCAGCATGTTCCCGTTTGTGCGGATTGTATTCTACGAATCAATTCAGCCGAAAGGCCACAATCAAGTGACTGGGAAGTATACGGGAGGCGGTAAGGAGTCGCCTCCAACGTCCAAGCCTCACATTCAAAGCTCAGAAAAGCATACATGGTATCAAATGCTGAACACACTGTAAAATGAATAGACCTCACTCAGCTCACTCCAAGAAAATCCCCGATAGACGAGCGTTGAATAGGCCGAGTACGGACAGACTGCTGACATCTCTCAGAACCATTCCAGGCTATCTAAATCTCGAAGAGGTAGGATAACGATCTGCACCTACAATGCACGCACACTTGCATCTGAGTCCTCGATAGAAGACTTGATCATTCGAGCAAGAAGGATAAGGTACGACGTCATCGAACTGACCGAGATGAGACGACGCCATCTATGACAAAAGAAGGACTGTTCCTCGCTACATGCGACAATAGAGGAGTCGGCGGCGTTGGCGTTCTGGTGAACACGAGTTTAGAAATAAGCATCGGTTCATTCGAACAACTAACAACGCGAATCGCACATTTACTGAACAACATCAATCTATGAGGAAGACGAAGTCGAAACCTTCTACACGGTTCTGGACAAGTTTTTCAGAGGTGACCATACATTCTTTAAGTTGATCATTGCATATTTCAACGTAATAGTTGGACATGGAACAACTACTGAAGAATCTCACATTAGGACCAACTGATTAGAACTAAACGGGCAGAGTGAGCGGTTGTTGGAATTTATCATGACGACCAGGACCTTTCAAGGAAACTCGCATTTCCGGAACCCCCCTCCCCACTCAACGGTGAACGTGTGAATCTCTCAAAGAAAGCACCTTAAGGAAATAAACCGCATCATAGTAAATAGAGGGTTTTGTTTAACCGAGGTCACTGTTCCAAAACTTTACATAGGATCAGACCATCTCCTCCTCCATGCAAGATTTCATTTCTCGCACAAATGAGAAAATGCCGCTAAATTCAAAAAACCAAATCCCAAAACCACCATAAACTGGGATTTATTCAGTTCATTAGTCTGCTATTGCGAAGATGGCGTTATTGGTAACATCGACGAAGAATACAACCTGGTAATTCAATACATTCACGTTAGCGCTATGAAAGCTGAGAGCTTGAAGATCACCAACAGAGGTTTGTCTCAAGAAACACTTGAACTGATACACCAACGGGGAATCGCACGAGCGGCAGCCAATCGTCATCTCGCGTCCGAACTTACAAAACACTGAGAACAGGCGATAAAAGATCTCAGAGAGTGAAGAGCAGAAATTGCGCAAAGCCCACCGAAGATTCATCAAATACAAAACAAATATGACTCCACTCCCACGCCCAGATGGAACAGTTACAGCTTCCAGAAAGGAAATAGAAAAAAGTGATCTTGCTGAAGACAGGATACGATCTGAACACCTGGAGAGCCTTTCGTCAGTCAACATTAACACGCAAGCTCGATTCTTCACACGTTATGGTCAGAATGCAAGGTTTCAATTCAATGGAAGACCAGCGAGCGAGTGTCATTGTTCAAGAAGAGTGACTTCCACGACATCGGCAACTATCGCCCAATCTATTTGCTGCCTGTCGTGTATAAACTCTTCATTAGTTATCCTAAACAGGACTGACAGAACAATGGACGAATGCAACCATGTGAGAAGGCAGTGTTTCGAAAAGGATTCAGTACTATGGACACATCCACACGATGAGAAGACTCAATGAAGTACAGAGTACAAAAGACCGATCTGTCCACTTTCATCGTTTAAAGAAGAATTTTGACTCAGAAGAAATATAACCATTCATGAAATCCCTGGACATCAGGGCCTGCCTACTTAGCACATAAAGGTCCTTCGCAAGCTATGTAAAAATTTCACAGCCAAAATATCACCATTCCACAACGATACTGACATCGATGTCAAAAGAGAGGTTTGGCAAATGCATACCATGTCACCAAAATTATTTAC